CCCAACCAAAACACTTGGGCTGGGGAATTCTGAGAGTTGAAGTCCACACATCTTCAAGCTGCCAAGGTTGAGAAACACTGCTTTAGATTAACATCACAAGCTGGAGTTCTTACAGCAAATTTATCAAGGGTAACCTGGCAGCATATACTTGTTAACCGAGCCTTGCAAATTAGTGTGTTCTGTGAACTCAACTTATTAGATCTCCTCATCTTCCAACCTTGTGTTTCCTTTCTCCCACTCAGTCAGGTGCCTAATATATCGCCCTCAGGCAATTCCAATTCATTTTCTGGTACATCCATTTTCCTAAATTTTGGTAGGGACTTATCTAGTTGAAACATCTCTGATCCCTGTTCCTTCCATAGGGTTCTTGTTGGGCCTGGTAGAATTTTTTTTCTATAAAATATTTTAAAGCAGGACATACATTAATCCATAATCACACTTGTAATCCTGCCCAATGCTATTTTTATGTTTACATTAAAGAATGTACATACACAGGATCACATATTGCTGCTTCTTTTAATTTAAAACAAGTGTCTGGTTCTTGAAGATAGACCATGCCTACTTGCTTCATCAGCATAATTTAGACTCAAGAAGAAGGGGAAGATTTGATACCAACATTGACCATTTTAGATGATGATGGTGATGAAGATGATGACTGGGCTATCCAAAACTTAAGATGTGGCCACAGCCATGTAATCAAAGCCCTGCCCATGTTTATGTGCATCAAAAGGACAGGACTTAAATCATATGGTTGTGGCCACTGTCTTGAACCCCTCCCCCCATGTTATTATTGTTTAGTTTCTGATTCCAGCTCTTCCTTCAAGCCATTATCTTATAGTCAGGCATTTCTATAGGAAGGGCTCAAGAAAGTCAAGATGGCAACTCTGATCAAGCAATTGAATCTCTGTCTCTTTTTTACACACAGCACCCTTGCTTTCAAGACTAAACTACAAAACACTCACCTTGATCTGTTCATCAAAGTTAGGGGACAAATCTATATAACTGGGTTTATATTTCCAAAATAACAGCATTAGCTTTATTCGTAATGCATTTTCTTTTATTTGTATATTGTGACATTTATTCTCAGATTAGACCTCTGAATGAATTTACAGTGTAAATGAGAAGGCCTACAGGTTGAACTTTGCTACTTTCTCTTGAACCACAATAGGACTGTAGATATGTTTGCTTCACAATTGATATTTACGTGAATGCTTTGGGATTACAAGGACACAATAAAGTAAATTTTGGACTGGTACTTAAAAATGCAAAAAGAATGTTACAGTTCAAATGTTCTGTTCAGCCTTTTTTTAAAAAAAAAATCAAGATGGTTTATGTAATAGAAAACATCAGTTGATGAATGGACATGTAACTGATAGAGGTAGGAGAGAAGGTAAAGCTTGTTAAAGAAAGTTGTAGGAAAAAAGAGCCAGAAGTCAGAATGGATAGCTGAGGTGAAAGAAAGCTGGTCTGGGAAGATAGTGAAGCTTTAAGCAGGCAGCAAAACCCACCACTAGAAGGTTTCAGGAAGAGATCTGATCAAAGAGAACTTCAGCAGAGAAAGACCTGGAAAGTGCATCACTCTGGAAAACAGAGGCAACAGAAAGAACTGAAAGCATGTGTCAAACTGTGAGAGGTTTACTGGGTTATTTTGTTCAAAGAAAAAGCCATTGAAAGTTTATTAGCTGGGAAAGACTCTTAGGTTCTTGGTGTTCTCTGGCCTTGATTGATTTCTCACAGACTTTTTTTACTCGGCTAGATAACATCATCATGATTGTTTAAGATAAGCAGGAAACAGCACCAAATAAATAATCAGGGAAGAAACAATACTCTGGTCAAGAAACCATCAAGGAAGAAATCACTCTCCAACCAAGACTGGAAAGGCAAGCTACTCTCCCCCACACTGATAAAGTTACCTAACCTGGAATGAAACACGTGCAAGAAAACAATCAAGTTCCATGAACACCAAGAACTCAGCCATTCAATGCGGAACTACACATATTCTCTCGAACTGGGGAAGACTCTACTTAGTAATATGAACCAATAAAAATACCAGTAATACTACTGCAAATAAGAGCAGCATGGGATAGAAATTAAGTATGAATGAGAGCAAAGGTGACTTAGCAGAATGGAAGAAATATGTTGAGGTGAACTGATCATATAGAGAGGATGAATGAGGATTGAATCACAAAAGAAATATTTGAAGGAAGGGCAAAATGACCAAGAGGAAGGGGAAGACTGAGAAAGTTGTGATGGGACGGAGTTGATGCGATCCTCCAAAGGAGAGTGATGAAAAGCGTAAGGAAGAAAAGTCAATGTATGAAGTAGTAAATGGTGGTGGAAGCAATAGCTACTGTCCCCTATTCTTTTCTGTTCTGCATAGCACCGGAAAAAGAAAAGAGTAAGCATGCATGTAAAACCAGAAACATAAGATTTATGTGTACAGTAGTTTAGTTTAACATTCTATTAGAATGATTACATATGGTTCCTTTTTATAAATAATTCTCTTGAAAAGCACAGTTTCTGGGGAAATATTTCTTTGGCAGTATCAATCGAATATCTTTGAGGACGGCTCTATCGTTTTTGAGAAGGGCTGTTTTGGAATGAGAGCAGCTACGTTTTGTTGGTTTAAAATCTATTGAGAATTTTATTCAACATTCTGGTAGAAAGTCCTATAAAGTCAGGGCTTGACTTGCAGAAATTGGCCATATACGTATGCAGTGGTGAGTTACCCACAATACTCTTCCATGCACCATTATGCATTTATACATCCCAGTAATTCTAGCTGTAACTCAAAAACACGCCTTCCAGATGTTTAAGGTAACTCTCATAATCCCTTTTCAGGACCACTCTATCTGGAATGACTGGAGTTGTAGTCCAAAACATATGGAGGTCACCAGGTTGCCTACTTAATTACCAAGGTTTTTGTCTCCTTCTCATCTACCTCCCTGGTCTTAGCCTCCTGACCATGCACACTTCATAAGTTTAAAAAAAACAGCCCCCCCCTCCCTATTCTTTCCTTCTTCTGCCTGATGAAGAGTACCAAAGCTTGTCTTCAATTTCATTGACCCTAACGAAAAGATATAGTCAGACCATGGCTGTTTACAGTTTGTTACAGACCAGCATAACAGGCTTTATTTTATATGGAAAACTTACATAAAGTTTTCACAGTGTACTATATATTGTTTGAAGATGAAGCATTCACACGTGTTAAGGCCAAGAGAAGGACCAGTTTTTACACGTCTTCTTTCCTGTATTTTCAACATAGGCTGTTACTTAAATCTTTGGACCAAAAAAAAGAAAAAAAAATAGCTAGTATGCATTCTGGCTTGCATCATGGATGGCATAATCCAAAGCAATTGATATGACAATGCAAAGCAAGGTCATTTAGCAGGCAAATTCGGAGTGTTGTATGTATGCAGTGAACAACACTATTGAACTTCTTACAATATTTTCCAGGATTATCTTTCCTCCTGAGCTGAAGGTGGATTCTGTTTATGGTTTATAACACATTGACCACTACTAATTTTGTCTGAGTGAGGGGAGCATTCAGGAGTGTCTGCAAGGGGGTCAAAAAAGTAAACATAGTCGCCACAACCATGTGATCAAAGCCTTCCCCTTGAATGCATATAAAGGGGAGAGGGTCTCAATTTTGTGGTTGTGGCAACCATCTTCACCTTTTTGACTCCCTCCCTGCACACACCCCTGTACACACCACATCTGTATTCATTGTGAAAATAATGTTTTCTAAAAAAGCCAACAGAATCCATGAAATAGATTAGGTAGGTGGGTTAAGAACAGAGTTAATTGTCAAGTCTTGCATGTAAGCATTTCTGTAGTACAATTTCACGTCCAAAGAATCTCAGATCTTTAAAGCTTTGGGGTGATTTGTTGTTATCTGAGAAAAAGGAGGTAACATTATTCTTTTTTTCCCTTCTGTGTGTGAAGGGGGGGGGTCATTTGTGTTCTTTGTTTTTTTCCTTTTGCAAAAAGAAAAGAGAAGGAAAAGGATTAACTAGTCTATAATAGTAACTTCACAAAGTTTTTACTAGAAAACAATATGATCTGCAAGGTCTCTTATCACTATAATACCCTAATCAACATTTCCCATTTGTAAGCAGCTATAGAGAAGCTTAGATGCTATTTGAAGGTATTATCATGATGGAAAGGAAATCCCAAGTTTCTCTTAGAAAATAAGTTTAACTGCAAGAGGATCCCAGGTCCAGAAAGACTTCAACAGCTGTAGGCCAAGCACATCTCAAACAGTGTTCTCCAGAGCAATTCCCTTTATCTCTTGGTGAGTGCGCCCAAGAAGCCTATATGCAACTAAACAAATCTTATCACAAAGTTGAGGAAGAACTGATATTCTTCCTAAAACTACATAACCATTAAAAAATGAACAAGATCTTTTATAGCATATTGCTGAGAATTCTTAATCCGTTGTTTGGGACTTGTTATCTAGGAAGCATGCTGCATAGGCTGGGCTCATACAACACCATAAGCAGAACTATGGATTGCTTCTTTATAGCATATTATTCATTCAAACTCAGCTTTGGAGGTGCAGTTTCAGAAGCACTCAGGTGGAGTGCCATTCAACCTTGCTGTTTTCCAGTTGAGTTACAACTTAGAAAGGATGAGTGTTAAGCCATCAACAGAGCAGTAAAAACTGATCCCTGCCTTATATTCAGTTGTCTTCAACCCCATTCTGCTATTCTGGCCAGGGATGACAGATGATTAGTTCAATGGAGTTGGACCTCCCAGGTTGCAGGGGGAATGATCTCCAAGCCAAAATTTTAGGCTATTTAGTATTCAGGCATTACTAGCAACCTTCTCTTTCAACATGCATTTCTGTAATACCCCTCCCCCCCAGAGACTGCTCACAATAAACAGACATACCAGAGTAATAGCTCTGAGTCATAATAAAAATGGATTTGTTAACCTTATCAAGTGCAACATAGATAACAGATTTAAGAGGCAGGAGGCAATGAAATGTGTTTTCTTACCAGCTTGCTTTTCTTATCCATGTTTTGGTAGGATCTTCAGTGTCTTTTTTGCTTCCTGTTCTCCTGCAGATGCTTTTTCTCTTTTCACATGAGATACACAATCTTTGTGTTGTTTTGTCCACTGGTTGTTTATTTCTGAGAGGGGTCCAATGCAGCTGAAGTCCTGGTGCCAGCTGTCCTCGGCAGACAATGGCTCAATTGGATGATGTCTTCCAAACAAAGGAGCTGTTCCTGGGACTGATTCACTTCTTTCTCCCCACCACGCCACATCAAACCCACACACCACATATATCCTTTCCCTGAAATATATCATCACTTCCCCCCAGGTCCTGCCAGGCAAGCTTAATTAGTTTAACCCACAGCCATTATGCTCACGGGACCCTCTTCTGTCCCAAAGTAACTAAGCCCCGTCAGCTAGATTCCAATGAAATGACCTTTGGAAGAATTGCTCCAAGCTTTTTTTCCCCCAGATTGCCTAAACTTATCAACAGCCCCAACTGAAAAAGTGCAAATACCACATTACAGCATGCTTTAGCATTACAACGAAGCAAAGCTAATTCTCTAACCTAATTCACAGCTCCATCATGTCTGTATTCCTTCAAAAGTCAGCCTCATTTTTTGGAATGGCATTTTCTGTCAGGCAGGTTTAAGGCTACGCTCTTATTTGATCTGAAGCTGCCTTTTTTCCTGGGCATTGAGACCCCAAGAAAATACAAATCCAGGTGCAACAGGGTGCTTCAGAGGACTTTCCTTGGACTGGGTACACAAGCTTGGAAAGAGGCAGCTTCTTTAAGGAGATGTTGACAAGTGCAGAGGGCATGCCCACATCTGCTCCAAGGCCCTTTTTCAGCTTCTGATATGCAACAATGCAAACAATTCTGAAAAAGGATCCTGGTATGGGAGACACTTGGGAGTTAAGGTTCCTCAGGGCAGTCATTCAGAGAACATCAACAAACAGCTGCTACTTAGCACGGATCATAGGAAGCTTAAAGCAAACTTTTTCATGAAACTGAGGGAAAGGTACCAAAAATTAAACTCAAGAGTTTACACGGTAGAGCACCTTCAGATCTGCAGTGCTGCACATCCCCTTCACAGGAGCCATTTTGTGGCAGAGCATCTACTGAGTCCAAAAGGTTGGGGATTCCTGGCCTAGCACGTTGCATAAAGCCACCTTCAATGGACTGGTGAGCCAGCTGAACCTTATGTCCAGCAGCTCTAAGGCCAGTTGGAGAGTAGGACAGTCCATGTAGCACATATAGCTTAGCCTTGTTCTTCAGACCAAGAAAAGCAGAAGCAGAAGAACAGCTAGGATACAATGGAGAGAAAGGAAATGTGATTGGAAATAATCATACTCTATTGAATTTTAAATGCAAATGAAATCAAACCAAATTCAGTTTTTGTCTTGGTTCTATCCATTACTTTTTGGACTACTACCCCAACACACCACTTGGAGGTCAAAGTGGGGCCCTAAATCATTAGAAAAAGAGAGGCATTTGTTCACAAGGTGGATGCTGAAAGTTAGGAAGTAGAAACATTCACACGTCTGCATGGGCAAAGCCCACAGCAATCAACCTTTCCCACAGAAACTTAGTCATATGAATAATCTTTGGCTCTCTCACTTCTCCATTATTCTTCAACTTCTTTCCAAGTAGTCACTGACCAGTTACAGTGCAGGGGCAATATGAAAAAAAGATAGAAACTGCTCCTGTTAGAATGGTGCAAACCTCAGAGCAGAATCCAGCAACACACCTCAGAATGAGACATGTTAAAATCACCTGCTTCCACTTCAAAGCAATTATGGGCAGGTAGGTCAGGCTTCAAGGCCTTCTTCCAGTAGATAAATGCAAAACAGTTAAGAAAGAATTAACCACAACCAGTTTATTTGCAATGCTTCTGACGAGGTTGAGATGCTATGGGTTTTAGGGCCCCCCATATCTGCTGATTTTCCATCATTAACTCTAAATGGGATTATACTCCCTCAGGCAGAATTGGTATACAATCTGGAGTCCTCCCAGACTCACAGCTCAACAAATACATCTTGTGCACCAGTTGCACCCATTCCTAGATCAGGAAACTTTGCTCACAGGCACTCATGCCTTAGTCACCTTCTGATTGGACCCTTGCAATGTGCTCCCTTGAAAAAGCATTCAGAAGCTTCCGTTGGTCCAGAATGAAGCAGTGCTTTTGGAGGCAATGTCACCAGGTTGATCCTAGGAGGCATGCCTTCTCTGTCATGGTGCCTGCTGTATAGAACAGCTTCCCTCTATAGATTTGGATGACCCAACCTTACCAACCTTTCAGAAAACCTTGAAGACCTGGCTCTTCCACCAGGCATTGGGGCCAAACTGTTAATTTACTGATGAGTAGCCTTATTAATTTGATTAATCAATCGATCAATCAATCAGTGTCTTTGACTGACATGAAATCTACCTCCATTTTCAGCTCTGTGGCCATGTTCACATTGGTACACTAAGCTAAGAAAGCTGAATTAATAGAGCTACTCTTGACATCATTTTGCAGTGCTGTTGGGCACAACTCAACTGCTATCTTGGATTTTCTGTACTTAATAACTTATCATGTTGCTCAAACAGAGTATGCATTTCCACATACCTATCTATTCCTTATTATTTTGCTGAAAATGAAGAAAATGTTTTTTAAAACCAGTTTTATTATCTAGAGAGAGCACAACTAACAATTGATATAACAATGGCTGAAATGTTGCTTTTGTTTTGGATGTTATTATGTTTGAAAATACAACTTGGAATTTGGGACTTAGCTATTCCATTTTGGCACAATTCTCTGTGCCAAAGCTCAAATTTACTATTTTGTTTACCAGAACCCCTTGTTACAATACCAAAGCAAGGAAGGTCTCTATCTCCTTTAAGAAACTTCTATGTTCTGTTGAGACTTGGGATTTGTGGCGAAGTGTGGTATTGTGTTTGCTCAAGTCTGCAACTGATTGTAAATTGTTGGGTGAGGCACACAGTACAGGGTGGGTGGGGGTGGTGGATGGGGGAAGAATGTCCTTCATTTGTCATTGACAGTTACAGAGAGTGTCTTGACTAGGAGACCATTGCAGTTCTGAATCAAGGGGAATCATATAGATTAGCTGAGGAGAGTGGGAAAAGATTAGATAAAGAAAGATTGGCTATGTTGTCCTGGAACTATCAGAAGCTAGTATTATTCCACTCTCTCTGGGTTGGCCTCCTGCTTCCTTGACCTGGGACACACTGGCAAAATTTTGCATGATAAAAGTCATGCCACGATCCAGGATGCTTAAGAAAATTCCAGCACAGGGAAGAGCCCTTGAACTGTAACTTGCCTTGAGGGCTGCTGTAATGTTTGTGAGAAATGCATTGCTTGATCTAAACCATAATTAATCACCAACAGTCTTCCCAGAACTGGTACTAAATCTGCAACAGGAACACCTGAGATTGTGGAAGGAAGAACAAGTTCTGTTAGTAGCTATATGCAAGGAAGGGACAATGAAATGAAACCCTAGTTGTGTTTTTCATGCTAAGCTAAAAAAAAAAAACACACAAAACAAAACAATTTAGTTGAATCTGCCCAAGCTTTCTCATCCTTTAGATTAAACACAGCTCTTTAACCAAACCTAGTGGCATAATGTGTCATCCTAACCTGAAATGATTGCCATTTGTAGTTTCTAAATTTTGGGCTTATAAGTTAAGATCAAGAAGTCTCTTTCAAGTCAAGCCTTTCTTTCCACCACTCCCTCATGATATGAACACAGCCAAAGAAATGAAGTGATTATAGGGATGAGTCAACAGAAGTGGTTACCTCCCATGTTAATATTACTCTATCAGCATTATTGGAATAGTATGAGTAAGTTCCTCAGCTCCAAGGCTATCTAAATAGTATATGGAACAGGACAACAATGAGAACCCCTATTACGTATGTATGTGAGGTTCTTTAGATTTCTAGGGTCACCCACATCTTCACCAACTCTGGGTACCATATAAAGTTAAAACAATCCAATGCGATATGGTAAAAAGCCAAAAATAAAAATAAAAATAAAAGATGATTATTACAGAGGAAACATATGCTTTAAATGTGCAAGACAAATCCCACAGTGGACACCCCATTGCAGCCCAAGGCCTGAGGAATCAGCCAGGTTTTCAAGACTTGCTTGAAGGAAAACAGGGTTGGAGCTGTTCAGCCCACCAGGGGCGATGCTGGTCCAGAGGATAGGCCCTGCAATAGACAAGGCAAACCTTCTGGGTCCCATAAGGTACCATTTCTTGATAGTCTGGAGCTTGCCAATTTTGTCAAATCCTGCAGAATGGGCAGAAACAATGGGAGAAAGACAGGCAAATAACTAGATCCTATACCATCCTGGGTTTCATAAGTGATAATCAGCACCTTGAATTGCACCCAGAAGCTTCTGGTAACAGGTGCAGCTCATGTAACAGAGATGTTATATGGGAACACCAAGTCCATAATGGCTTGCATCACTGCATTCTGAAGTTTCTGAGTGGTCTTCAAGTGTAGTCCCATGCAGACCACTTTACAATAGTCCACATGCAAGGTGACAAGGGCATGAGTGATCATGAGGGCATCCTGATCCAGGAAAAAGCACAACTGACACACAAGACTAATCTGGGCAAAGGCCTTCCTGGCCACAGCTACTACTTGCTCTTTGAGCAGGAGCTGTGCATCCAAGAGGACCCTCCAATTACCCATCAGTTCCATCTGGGGAAGTGCAACCTACTTCAGAATTAAGGATAGAAAATCCCCAGAACTGGACTTCAGCAAGCCATTCAGTCTTGTTAGGCTTCAGCTAAAGCCTGTTCCTCCCATCCAGATCCGGATAACCTCCAGGCACTGGAACAAGACCTTGATGGAATCATTTGGTCAGTTATACATTAAACTGGTAGGCATAGGCAACCTTTTCAACTGAGGTCTGCGGTAACCTCAACCAGTGGTTGCCCCTTCATTTGCCCTTGTTACACCACTGTTGTATGAGCTGCATTGGCTTCTAGTTTCTTTCTGGGTACAATTCAAAGTGCATCCAGGGCTAGGTTATTTGTAGGACCACCTCTCCCTGAGGGGATCTGCCCATTCCACCAGATCAGATAGAGTGGGCATACTCCAAGTCCCTTTCCCTAAATGTTGCCTTCTAGTGCGACTTAGGAAGTGTGCCTTTTATGTGGTGTCCCTATGGAACACACTTCCCTTAAGACCTGGCAGGCCCCTAGCCCTCTTAAACTTTCAGAAAGCCATGAAGAGCTGGCTCTTCCCCCAGGCATTGGGACAGTAAGGTTGAAGCTCGGGGGATTGTGTAGATGAGTGTAGTTGATGGATTGGGCCCCTGGTTCTTCTTGATTTTGTTGTTGTTGTTGTCGTTGCATTTTTATTGTTTGTGTTTTTATGACTGTTGTTAGCCAC